GGTCCCCAGGGGGTGGCATGAGGGCATAGCCATACTCTAAGAGGCTTCGAGAGATGAAATTAACCAAAGGCAGTAGTGAGGGCTGAGAGACAAAATAAAGGAAATCTATTACCACCCAGAAGTCTTTGCAGCAGGATCTGGACTCCAAATGGGAGACATGGCCTATGGCAGGGGAGCTGAATCAGAAGAGAATCTGCTCTGGAACCTTTCCCACAGGGTCCTTATCATGACTGCAAATGGTAGCATCACTAGCTTGCCTGTCTTGGCCATTGCGCATGTGCCCCATGCATATTGGAAAGGCTCATTGGCTCAGAGTTGGACACATACATCACAAATCACTTGGTAGAAATCCTCAAAATGAGCTTCAGAGCCCACTAGAAGGCTTTGACATTAACCCACAACCTTTGGGTTCAAGTAATTTCACAAGCAGCTCTCCAAATCATTTCTGCGTTTTTCTGCCTACCACTCGTATCTCAAACAGTCTCCTATTTGGCAGAGCTACCTTGGCTTCCTTTGAACAGGCTGACGAGGAGGCTGGAATGTGTGTGAAGGAGGAGAAGGAGCAGCAAACAGATGAAAGCACAGTGAGCCATTTCTGGCTTCTGTCAAAGTGCTCCTAGCTCTCTGCCATGTGTACACAAGATTCCATTGAGTGCTAATCTGAGATCACCTATCAAAAGACTTGAAAATTTTAAATACCAAACATTTTGTTTGGAGGTCAAATTTTGGAGTTTTGACTGTATTTGGGGTGTTTGCATTGAGAAGAAATGCCATGGAAAAGGCCAGACGATATGCAGAGTTAGTCTTGAGGATGAGCAGAAAGCAGAGGGAACACAGCCTACCTTGCAAAAGGGAAGTCATTAAACAAAGAGGCTCCTTCACTTTAGGATCGGGGTACGAAGGGGTGGGTCTTGAGCTCTCAGCCATATGTTTCCCCTAAGGTGACCCCTGGTTCTCACTGGTTAATTAAAGGCTCTGGGCTTTGTGTCTTTCATTCTCTAGACACCCCGATCTTAACCAACACAGGCTTTTTGCCATCCCATACCTATCTTTCCATTTAGACATTCCAGTTTCACACACAATTAAATAAAATTAAGATGATTTTCAGTATACTCTTCCCAAATTTTCTCCCCTATCCAATTTCCCTAGCATTGTTTCAGTGCCACAGTTTTTCCTTCCCTGTTCTTGATGTGTGATAGAAGAAAATTAACATATAATTGGCTTGGATATAAACAGTGGCTGTACACTTGGTTCCTCCATGACCTGGGACATTACTTCACTGCTGGGGCTTTTAGGTTACTTTTCCATAAACTAGGACACCGCAGAGGGTGGCTGTTGACATGAATTAAAGACATGAAATGTAAATAGCATAAAGCCTGGCACATAGTAGGTGCTCAACACTGTAGTCCTCTCCCTACCCCCTTTTTCTCTTTATCAGCTCTTGCTGGTTCTCCATATTCATCTACTCATCCCATCCCTGAAAGTGCCTGAGTGAAGTTTGCTTTTTATGACCAAATTAGGAAAGAGGAAAAGGAGGTGAAACTAACCACTGATGCCATCCATTTTCCTCCCCTTTGAAGGATTTGGAAAGGGAAAAATCCAGCATCAGTCTTAGAAGATGCACTTGGGACTTCAGCACGCTCTCTCTCCCCCTCTCCCTCTCTCCCCCTCTCCCCCCCTCTCTTTCTCATTTCTACAGACCTCACTCCCTTACCAGTGAAAAGGAAGAGCCCTCTCAATGAGATGCATGGAAAACATTATCAGCCCCAGGAAGCTCATTAGCAGTTTTTACATGTACAACCAACAGAATAGAACTGCCTACCCAGTGGTAGTTGTTCTATCACTGGGACCAAATGATGAAAAAAAAAATAACTTAAAGGGTTCAGGTTCCATAACAATGCAATACATCAGCATAAAACAAGGCATTAATAATACTAATGAGAAAATAATGTCACCTATCTGCTTTAAATATGGTATTTTGGCCATACAAAATGGCAAAATCATGGTAAGCATTTGCATGGATTTATAGCTACACTTGAACCAAAAATGAAACTTGCACATGCCGTAGAGAAGACAGACCTGATGATACACAATCCTCCATAGGTCCCCCTATTAAAACTTACGCTGGGCCGGCCGAGTGGCGCGATGGTTAAGAACTCGCTTGGGATGCCAGAGGGCCCCGGTTCGGATCCCACATATGAGGGCCAGTGACACTGCCCTCTACAGCTAAGATGCTGAACAACAGCTCCACCTGGAGCTGGGCTGCCATGAGTCGCCGGCGACGGCATGGGCTGCAGTCCCTGTGGCAGTGGATTGCCATGGGCTACCGTGTGTGGCCAGCAGCCAGCGTGAGTGGCCAGCAGCCAGCGTGAGTGGCCAGCAGCCAGCGTGAGCGGCCAGCAGCCGCAGTGAGCGGCCGTCCAGAAGCCGGCGACTGATCTGCCTCGCCAGAGAAGAGCGCAATGATGGTGCCAACTTGGGCCAGTGAAGCAACGTCCTCCACAACTAGATTGAAGAACAAAACGACAGCAACTTGTCTGTTCCCCTTCCCCCAACTCCCCAGCACTGTTCCCATCCCCCCAATTCCCCAATAAAAAATCTTTAAAAAAAAAAAAAACTTACGCTGATTTTTTTTAGAAAAAGTAGGCTTTATTCTAAATTGTCTTTCTTGTAATTGGGGAATAAAAATCCCTTTGTCTTAATTTACGTTTAATTCTTGTTCATTGGTAGTCTCCTATGAAATACTGTTTCATGTTGTTAAATCTGTTGACATATAGTAAAGAATACATATTTATGGTCTTAATGTTTGCAGAACAAAATACCTCTGGAGTTTCGGTGTGTTCATGTATTCGTTTTTATGCATAAAGGAGGCATTGTGATTAAAAAAAAAAAGTAACCTGGCCATAATCTACAGCAGTGTGTCTTAAGAAGAATCATTCCATTTATTTTTAAAATGCAACCCAGTCAGCAATGAACTGCAAGGCTGGCATTGGGAATAGCCAGTCTTTCTTGAATGGCCATTCACAGTTGTAAAACAGCTACACATCACTTCCTGCCTTTCCTTCCCTTTGCTTGACCTCCCAGAGCACAGCCGAAGTTCCCAAGTTCCATGCTGTGCTCTTCTTTCTCTCTCCACAATTCTTCCATTCTCCTCCAACGGAAAAGTGGTAACTGCTAGGTGTCTGTCTTGAACACTGGTTTATGGCAGGGACATCCCCAGGGTTGGACTCTCAACCCAAAAGCACGTGCATAGAGTGGCTGAAGCATCTTGATCGTCCGGATGGTAAGAAGTGCTGGATCTGAGCATAGTGAATGGACCTCGCGGGCATCAAATACCCCAGTGTAGTGTTAAACCTGTCTGCCATTAATTCTCATGCTTGTGGCACACCAGAGTCCCTAGATCTTAGAGCCCTGTCACCTTCCACAGAGGATGCCCTGAAACAGAACTCCGATCAAATCCTACATAAGATAAGAAACATAAGATAAGAATCCTACATAAGAAAGGGAACATCATTCCAGTGAGATCTTCCTTTTTTTCCTACTATGATGCTGTATGAAGACCTAACACTTGCTTATTCTTGCATAGTTACCAGAAGAGACTCACAATTGAGAGAGAGTATGCTCTAGTGTAGGCCCTAGAGACCTTGATTAACCTGTTCATTTACATCGTGGGATAGTTACAGAGATGATTTGCTTCTCAGAATCGGGCCAGCAAAATCCCTCAGGCAGAGGTGTTATGGCTGACCACCTTAAGAAAACCACAGTCAGGAGAACCAAGGTCCTAATTTAAGTCCTGTTAAACTGTTAATTGAGAGCTTTTCATTATTAGTACCATAAATCCCAGGCCAGGCTAAGTTTCAGTTTGAGTCAGCCAAATATAAGAACAACTTGGCCATATGATTTTTTTTCAAAGAACTTTATTCATTCAGCCCCAGGCTCAGAATTCGATAACATGTTTTCTGTGGACTTTTTTTTTCCCTCTTCACATCAAACAATATTAAAGAGGAAAAATGGAGGAAAATTCTAACTACTCCCATATGTATCCTCACATATGGCCAAACTGAATTACTTACTTTCCTGAAACACACACGCTGATTTCTGTTCCCCCACATGTGGGCATAAACCCTCCTGCAAAGCCCTCCCTGGACTCAGCCTGTCAGAATCCAACCCATTTTTTTTTAAAGCCCACCCAAAGGTCTCCTCCTCTGTGTGGTCTGCTATCATCACCCTGGTCAAAAATAATATTGCTTCCCTAACACTGTGTTTGTGTCTTTTTTGAGGCACTTTCCACGTAAAGCTTGTGTTGTAAGCTTTTGCATAATTTCTCTATTGATCCTGAGCAGCTGGGTGACAGATAGTATGTTCCCATGAGTATGTGTCTTTACAGTGATTCTTGGCAGTGTCCTAAATGTCATAGGTACTTCATAAATATTTTGCTCCTTGGTGATGAAAAATTGGGGAAGTAGAAACATTAAAAAGAAACATACTTAACAGGTATGCTCGTGTCCCTTGTCTCTCCCAGTCTGAACTGTCAATGAAGTTCTCAGCCTCCCATCGCAGAGGGTCAGAAGTCTGTAGGGTGTTTACTCCGCTGTGAAAGCACTTGAAGGTAATTTTCAGTGGAAAGACTTCATTAGATTCACTGCTTCGTAATGAAAGGTGGTAATTTTTACTCAGCAGCTTATGCTTATTTGAAGTAGTTTTTCATTAAGCTGTTTATCACTTTCATCTTTTACCTGGCTGCAGCTGCCTGGCAGAAAAAGAATGTTCTTTCTCTAACTGTTACAGCTTAAAAGGTTTCCTCTGACCAGGGCTTACTTTTCTTCTACTGCCATTTCTCTTCCCTCTCTTTCTTTTAACTTTTAGTGAGGGCTGCTTCTTGGTGCTTAGTCAGCTCTGAGGCATTTGCAGAGGGATCGTAGCTGCTGGAACTGCTTCTCTTCTTCGGGGCTCCGGGCTGACTGTTAAGTTCCCATTCTCCTTTCTTCCTCTGATTGGCTCTCCGTAGTCACGTGAGGGCCGGGGGTTTGGAATTCTGAGTTGTGGCTTTGGCACTCCTTTTTCTTTTTAAAAATCGCCTGGTCTGTGGCGTTCTGCTGAGCTCGGTGCCTTGCTCTGACTGAGACTGGAGACAGAAGGAAACAGCCACAGGGCAGACAGAGGTGACAGAAGAAAATCTGCTGAGATGTTTGGCCAGGGACCCAGGACCCCAGCTTCAGGCTGCTACTATCTAAATTCCATGACACCTGAGGGCCAGGAGATGTACTTGCGATTTGATCAGACTACGAGGCGCTCTCCTTACAGGATGAGCCGGATTCTAGCACGCCATCAGCTAGTGACTAAAATTCAACAAGGTGAGTTCCCGGTAGTGGAAGCCTGTTGCTAATTGATTTCTGTTGGCTCGATTTCATGCTGACCCAGTTTTGTAAATTGTTGTTTTCACTTTACAATATATGGATTTCTATGCCACGTTGCATGTAACTTTTAGAAATAACTTTATAGGCTACAGTTTTAAGCAAACAGTGACAGCACCTAGCTGCCACATAACTCAACATAAAGTGCACACAAAACTTCATGGTAGGAGGGTGAATCATAAATTTCCAAAACTTACGTGTGTCTACAGAATAAATGAGACAGGTTTACTCAGTGTGTATTTTGGTTTTTTTTCCTGCAGGTTTTTCACACTCTGTCACATTTGAAACGTGGACACTTGTTTATTTAATTAGGAGGGGGCCGGGGACTTCCACCCTGCACAGATTCTTTACAACATTCTTAGTGACAGGGGAAAGTTAGAATTCTATTCCTAAGGCCATCAGGCTGACAACCAGAATCACAGTCTTTGCCTCTTTGTATGTTTATGTCAGTCGTTGCCACTGATTTGTTGATACTGTTTTTCTGATAAAGGATAAATATGTCCTCTAACCTCAAAACAAATCTGGCGACCTGTGCACAGAAGCACCAGCTTCCTGTGCAAAGGATATTAATTATAAACTGCTAGATGTTCCTTTTTATCCTTAGGGGGGAAAAATCAATAGTTTGAACATCACTAAAACTCATCATTCTCCAAAAATAGTTTTAAAAGGTCTGTAGAAACTGTACTAGACAGATGAACATTCCTAAGATGTCCTTAACTGTTCCCCATTTAAAAGACACACCCACGTACCCACACATACACAATAAGTTTATGAAGTTTATGGACACCCCCTTCCTGGACTAAAAAAAGTAGGTAAATGATTATTATATTGGTGATTTTCTAGAGCCATTATGCAAAGAAACTCCATTTAAATAAATGAGTTTGAGATTATATTGAATTTTAGAGGGGAAGTTGGGATTTGTAATCGTGAAAATCTCATTGTAATGTTTCCAAAAGGAACAATATGTATTCTAGTGAGCAGCATTTGATGAGATTGTTTCCTTGGAAATAGGAGTTGTTTGTAAAGGTTCAGGAACTGGTTATGTGTGAAGGATACTGGTCCTACATACCCGTCTGATTTCAGGAAGGATATTATGTCATTCCATAAACTCTGTGTGCAGGTCTTGATTGAATAGAAACAAAAGTAATTATTTCCCTGTGGCTTGATTTAAAAATACATTAGGCTTAGAATAAAACCCAGCTCCATTTTCATTTTAGAGGTTTCTGACAATGGTGCTTTACCAGATGCCATTGTCATGATGGACATAGGGGCTTGATAAATGTTTGATGATGATTTATAAACTGTGCTCTCTAAATATTCCTCAGCAGGCATATAAAGTGTATTAGGTCAGAAGCATTGCACACAGATAGTGTGAGATTGCTTTGCAAATCTAAATGTATTCACAATAATTATTTTCGCTAAAAGTGATTCATGTTTTTTTTGGAACGAAGGTTATGTTTGCATTGAGAACTTCAGGTTATGAACACATGCATGTTCACTGAAAATGTACTCTGAGTTTGTTTCATTTTGCCTAATTAGAAAACCTCCGCATTTTTCTATTGGGCAATGGAATGTCTGAAGCCAATGAATGCCTGAAAATTAAAAGTGAGAGTTGAGATAATAGAAGAGCACGAGAGAATTCCAACGGTATAGTGATTGGAACTCATCATGTGTTAGCATCATTCGGTTTTATAGTAAGACATTAAGAAAGCAGAAGCAAAACAATTTTCCTGGGTTTACTATATGAGTAGACTGGTTTGCTGTAATAGTAGAGAATATGGATTGAGCATTTATAATGCATCAAGCGCTTCTCTAAGAGTTTTATATATTTATATATAGGTATATCGGTATACCTATATATAAATATATATACATATATATAATTTCAATTTATTTTATCCTCAAAAAAATTCATGTAGGTAAGTGCCATTATTATACCCATTTTGAAAGTGAGAAAACAGAGGCACATAGAGTCAAGTAACTTCTCCGAGGTTACGTAGTAGGAGCTGGTATCCGAATATAACCCTAGAGCCCATGTTCTATAATACACTACACTGCGTTTTAGTTTTTAGAATAAGTGCCAAAGTACTGAACCTATGGTTGCTATTTGGATTGTATAATATGCCAAAGATTTTTCAGTTCTTTTTCTGCTCAGGATACAGCAATGAACCATATTACAGAATCAGAATTGGTCACTCACTATGAGATTAGCAATCAGTTTTTATTTCTCTAGTGGAAGCCAAATGCTATGTGTTTCACCTCCCTTGAACAGTAAGTACCCAATAGGTGTCAAGTTATTTCACTAATGGCCTATAATCATCCAATTAAAGCTTATCTAGTGCATATTAAATTAATAACAGTGATTTTTTGGTGTGTAGTTCATGTTGTGACATCTTAAAATGACAGCCACATCAGTAAAATTGTTCACATTACTCTGCTATAGGTTTGTGAAGGGAGATTTAGCATTATATTGATATAATTTGGGGCATTGTTACTTATACTCATAATCTCTCATGGCTGTGGGGAACAATGCAGCCAAGAGTAAGTTGCTCCCCACTGACTTCATTTCAATGAGATAATCATTGAATGCATGGACATGATTCAACAGCAAATACACTCATGGGAAGGAAAAACAAGGAGAAGAAATAAAGGAATCTTTGATGAAGCATAGGATCAGAATTAGTTGCCCAAACCCAGGATGAATTTCAACTTGCTCACCATGGGGTATGCTCCAAAATCTACAGGCATCATTTTCCAAGGCTTCTTTTTAGTTCGGGAGTTTTAAGTCCAGTTAAAAAGAGAAGAGATGTTTAAAACAGAGTGTTGTTTGCGGAGTGAAAGTTTATCATAAGTCATACCCTTCCCCACAATCTTGTTGCATCAATGGGGAAATTGTTGTAGGGAGAGAGATTGGAAATAATAACGGCCCTTATCTCCCTCACTGGCAGGCACTTAGGAACGGATAAGAGGAAGGACACTGTGGAGATGGAGGAAGAACATGTTAGGTCACAGGAAGGCAGAACAGGGATCATATGTCATTGTTTGATGGCTCCGATCTGTTGGCTACATGTGTACCATGTTTAACATCTATAGACACCCACAATCTGTGAGAAAAATCCAAAACTGAGCAGATCCATAAATGTGATTCCTTGCTTTGTGAAAGAATTCATCATGCTACTAAACATTTTTAAAAATTATTTTAAATGCATAAAACAGCATGATATGGACCAGACAGCAGTAAATCTGAACCAGAAAAAAAGGAGACAGGGATTCAGGCTCTATTTGGGCACTCCCTCATTCTTTTGCTGTTGCAAGTTTCAGAACTTAACTGGGCCTTTGTTTCTTGAGGAGAACGTGAAATGGTTGGACTGTGATTGCTCAGGTTTATTCCGGTTCTCAAGTTCTCTCCATAGTTGAGTCAGTAAGTCCTTGAACAAGAGTGTGCAAAGTAGAGAGACTGCAACCTACAGCAATAAAAGCTGGAAAGGAAACAGGGCAGCTTTCTAATGTGGAATAAATCAATGGTTTCTAATTTTTCTACAGCCTGTCAAGGAAATGGTAAGGTGGAAAGCAAATTTTAGTTCTACCTCTGCTGCTGATTAATTGTGTGATTCTGGGGCAGCCCACAACTTCTCTGGGCATTCTTTCCTACTTCCATAAAATAAAGGGTTTGGAGTATATAAATGTGAAGTTCCCATCATCTCTAAAATTCTAGGGTTCTGTGACCACAGGTGTTACTTTAAGAGAGAGACAATTCTTATTTACATTTTGCCTATTGTGTCATTCCACATCTATCTGCACATTCTTTAAACCTGTTTAGTGCCCTCATTTTCAATGTAATAACAATGTTAGGATGTCCAGTCTTGTGGGCTATTTAAATGTCTGTAAAACCTATAATTATAAAGAAACTTGTAAAAACTTTTGTTTCTCAGGCGTTCAGGACTGCAAAATGGAGTTATTGTGAAGCCTGACCTGTTGCAAGGATTAGGGATTGGAGAATGTCCATGTCTGTGTATCCCCGTTTTCACAGATAGACCTTTTTTCTTAATAGAAATGCAGAATGTAGAAAATTTCACTCCTAAAGGAATTAGTGAAAGTTAAACTTGCATTTTCATTGACTTTTATCTGAGACTATTTATCGAGATAGCACCTGAGTTGAACTTAACTAGAGTGGAATAACTGCCATTTTGATGTTCACAGGGAATGGAAGTGGTTGTTAGTGATGCATCCTCTCTCATTATTCCATCAAGTCAAATGGCATCTTGGGAATTTGCCCAACCTAAGTGGTGGCGTTGCTCATTCCTAGTGTATGAGACCCCCACCAATGGGGTGACGTCAGCTGAAATTAAACAATCACTTGTTCTTTTGGAATTGACCTTTCTCAGTCTTTAGTACTTTATTGCCTCACTACTTTCAGAAATGGAGGGTGAACATGCTGGCAGAAAGACAGATGGACATAGAAAACAGGATGAATATGCATTTGTCGTGTATTGCTCAAGCTCTTAAAAAAAAAGTGGCAACTGTCAGAAGTTCACATTTCATGAATCAGAGCCTCTTTCTATCCAGTGCTGGTGATTGAAGAGCCTGTACATAAAGAATACTGTTTAACCAAAAGTTTCAGGAAAATCTATTAAGTGAATTAAGTCAACAAACAGGGTAATATTTAAAAAAAAATGTCACATAGTTAAAAATGTGAGCAGTCAAGATTTAGTACTTATTTACTAAAATGAAATTAACAAAGAGCAATGTGCTTGCACACATATAAATCTTGCGAGTTTTACTTTAACCAAATTGTGACTTCCACAGTTGCATGTCACTGCTTTAATTAGCTCTGATTTTATAAATACACATCCCAGATACAGCCAGTTGCCAAATTCGGATTTTGGAACATTGGTTTAAGTGAATAGAGATTCATTTTTTCTTGTATCTCCCTCGCCTTC